GAACACCTGGACACCCTGAACTTCCATGTCTGACACCTCCAAACTTCCACATCTCACACCTAGATACAAGAAACTACAGAGCGGAACACCTGGACACCCTAGACTTCCGCAGCCAGCACCTAGATACAAGAAACTACAGAGCGGAACATCTGGACACCCTGGACTTCCACGTCCGCCACCTAGATACAGGAAACTACGGAGAGGAACACCTGGACTTTCTGTATCTCTAAAAACTGTCATCTAAAGTACGAGGAACTATGTTGAAGCACAGATATACATACACCATACACATAACCATACACCCGCGCTCCACATGAATGCTATTAAGAACTTAATAATTCTATACTGTTGTGAAAGCACCCTTATCCTAACTAGAAATTCGGTATGAACAGTAGCTTCACGTATAAAGTGTATTTGATTGTGTTGTATATTCGTAAATTACTAACACCATACTGAGTACAAATAGGTAAAGAAGGCAAAGCAGTCAGCGGCATCTGTCGTGTAAAAAAGGCGATGGACGTGCGAAGACAACGACAACGATGACGACGACGACGACGACGACGACGACGACGCACCTGAAATAAAATCATCTCGCTCGGCATGTGAATACGTCCTGATCCTGTACACTAATCGTATTGAATTTGGTGGCAATCAATTCAGAACCCTTGATTCCTAGAGTGAATGTATCAATAAATTTTTCTCACATACAGCCGTTCATAAGATATTTGAGTCGAAACACAGGTACAAGAGATGCTTCGAGTAAAGAGTCTCGGCGGGCCGTGCCTCGTACGACGGATTGCCTGTACTTGGCGCGAGACTCGACCAAGTCTCTTGATTCTTTCAAAATTTTAGGAGAAAGCAAAGGTAAGAAACGCGCAGAAAGAATTAAAGAATCCACACTAATGACAATCACGTTTAACGATTATAGGCAATGTCATTCATACCATACAAATTTAGTTAAAACTCAAAATTTAATTCAAAGTAAAAAACGTTAAGTTTATACCGTACAACAGAAAAACATAGCACTCAGCTGGAATGACGACAAAAGGGTCATTCTTCCTGGTACGAAAGATACCCTTTTCGTGGGGTTATAAAATGTAACATATACATTGTAACGTGGCGTCAGGACGACACATTACAAAAGCCCCGCACCTCCGCGCGCTACCGACAGCACGGCAGTGCCACCGGCCTCCATCTCCAAAGAGTTCGTAGGTCCGTGGTTCGGCAGGAGGGAACGGGGGAAAGTAGTGGACTGGCGGCGGAGGCACAGGACCCTTTTGGGTTGAGAGCCCGCACGCAAGGGGTGCTCAACCGCCAGGACGCACTGCCGGTACCCGGGGAACTTTGAACGGCTACGGTTTGCGGGTCCGCGGGGAGGGCGTCGGAGAGGAGATTTGTTTTCATTCTTGACCTACCGCGAAGAGCGGTAGGTAGGATAAGGAGAGTGTGTCGCGGGGAGTCCGCGTGTAAGGACTCGGGTGTCCGGCGGAACGCGAAAAATGAGTCCTTCCGTGCTTGGGCGATAGCGGAGCTATCAGATAATCGCGGATTGCGATTATCGGGGTCTCTCGCAGAGAACCATGGCTCCCGGGTTTTTTGTATGGTCTAGTGCCAGTGCGTGGCCGAGTGTGTGAAATTCCGAGTGTTTGATGGACACCCTCGTGGAGCCGGGATGCGGCACCACGGGGATAGGCGGAAGGGACACGGCCACCACGATTTGGATTTGGTACGGGACTGATGGGGCAGCCAGGTCTCGGTAAGTACTGCGAGGGTGGTCTTATTTAGAGAATATCTTGCGCGAGAAGATAGCCGAGCGGGAGTGGTGCGGACACACGGATGCCTCAGGGGGCTACCGACGTCAGAGGGCACACTCCCGAGGAAGAAAAGGCTCGTCTCCAACGAGACCTGTTAGAATCGCGAATCGCGCCGCGAGGGGATTCGCGGATTCGGTAGGGACACCGAGATAGGGACAGGTCTGGGGCAGGCTAGAAATCACGACTCGGAATAGTCGTGAGCCGCCGTTGGAGAACACACTGTACGCGACGGAATTTGTATTGTAAACGGAATAATAAACGGAACGGTATCCTACTCGCTGTTTTATCATTTTGCGCGTCTATCTGTTGACTCCGAAATTCTCTCTCGTCGCCCCCATGTTCCCCTCTACCATTTTCAGTGCGCTGAGGTTGAGCCGCCGGGAAACCTGAAAACGGCCGTGGTGAGGAATAGTGGCGCGGAAAAGCCGCACCAGGGGCCCAACAATTAGATCTTCGGATCTTTTCTTCGATTACAACACGTTGGGAGCAGCCACGGATTATTTGTAGGCGACGCCGATGAACGGTACACGTCACAACATATACATTGTGACGTGACATTTTGATGCACGTCATAAAATTATGTGAATTCGGCTACGTCGTGGGGCCGGATGGGTTACGAAGCGTTTCGCGTGGCGTTGGACTGACTTTATTTTAAGGATTGTATTTATTTCCCTGTGGGGAACGTTTCGTTTGTTTTTGAGTTCATTAAGCGGATCCGAGAGGATTCGACACAATTTGTATTGAGAGGGGGCCCGAGAGAGCCAACTACGGGCCTGGCGGAGCGCTGTCGTGGAGAGGTGACGTCAAGAGCATACAACTTTGTAGCTCAACTGCGCAAAGCGGGCGGCGAGCGTCTTCAGAAGCAGAGGGCATACAGAAGTTGCAGAGGCGGCGTAAAGCCGAATATCGAGGGAGTAGAGGTGGATGTGATTCTCGCCTTCCGGAAACGACACTGCAGTCATCCTAACATAGCAAGATGCCAGGATCTATTTTACCGAGATCGTTAAAACAATTAAAGATGGCGAGCTTGCTAGCGGAGCCGATGTAACAGCGAACCTGATTGGACCAGTGGGTGGTATTACAGCGCGCTCTCACGGCGTGACCTAACTCAGGGATGACGTGCTATCGTTTTGTACCGATTTTTGTATTTATTGTATCGTATCGTGATCCGTTTGAGGGACTATAATCCAGGAGAGTGTGTTCCTGGGAATAGTAGGAGCTACTGGACAACGGTGAGTGAAGCTCAGGTGTATTCTGGCTATTTTTCAACTCACGGGATCAACCGATCTTTTCTGTTCGACGTATTATTACTCGCCATCCTGCGCTTTCCTGACTGCTAAGGGTCCACGGATAGCTAATCCGGTGACAAACAGGAAATCGGTCTCTCATTTCATTATTTCGATTCTTCCGGTTTTGTGTCTAACCGTTCAGTCCACGTCTCGTGGAATCATCTCCCTAGCACATAAGTGCGTGAGTCAATATCGTACCGTTTATTATCGTTACCGTACCGTTTGTTATATCGTATTGTATGTTGCGTTGTTCCAGCGAGAACATTATTGTATAATGTCATTCAGGTAAATATCCCAGTTTGTTCTGCATCATCTCGATCAGTTTTCTGTACTTATCATTTGTATTTCACCATCTTGTTCTGATATTTTCTATTTAAAATAAATCGGATCCGTCCCCGGATTTTGGTTCCGATAGTTTGTCATTTTCAGTAGTTCTTAGAGTGCACCTCCCTAATTTTCAGATTTTGATTATTGTCTCCCAAACCCAGGACCCCACCACATAAGAGCTGGCCAGGGTGTCCTTAGGAGACAGCGGTGTAACTCTGGTTATACCTGGCGCCCAATAATTTTGTATTTTATTAATTATTTCTCGCGATGCCATTTATTTGTGCGTCACCGTCAAAAAGTGTCATCATAAAATATTGTATATAATAAGAATGTACAAATGTAAATAGTCCGTACATTATGTAAGAAAATATAAATAATCAGACGTAACAAATATTTTAGTTTTGATTTATTTCAAACACCTTAAAAATTCGACTTATCGACCCAACTATTGTGCGAACCATCGAAACCTAACCATTTCACAAATAATTTGTTTCCACGTTTCCTCAGCACCTTCTCCATAAAATATATATCAGGATACTTGACGGTGGTAAGTTCATGTTCGTAGAAGCCGCCTTCGATGGGATAATCCTGGTAGTCTTTGAGTTTGTACGTTACCGGATCAGTATTCTTCACTCGACTTACGGTGAAAATTTCAGTTGTCCAATTGGGTGTGTAGCCTTTCTCGAAGATGTGTTTAAATTTGCTGATTCGTACTTTGTCGTCAACTTTAAACTTTGATCGTTTAAATGTGGACTTACACTTTGAATTTCTTGTACACCCGTTGCAGTAATTTCATCTCGTTACGAGCAGTCACATCTGTCAGCTTCATACCAATTGTGCGATGCTTACTATTATTGTAAGAGGATACCAAGTCGGATAAGATATCTAGCCACCGGTGATTGCCCTGTAGGCTAAACTGCATCCATATCTTACTTTTCAGAGTACGATTAAAACGCTCGCAGATCGTTGCCTTCAAGTTACTGAATATCGAGTACAGGGTAATACCGTGTTTTTGCATAAGATCCTTGAATTCGGAATTATAAAACTCTCGGCCTTGGTCAACATGCACTTTCTTCGGGATTCGACCCTGCGCCAATATAGATCTCATAGCTACTGTTACGTCTCTAGCGTTCTTGTTTTTCGTCGACACGGCCCAAGCAACCTTAGAAAATTTGTCGATGACGGTGAGCAGATACTTGTATTCGTAGTTCTCTCTGGTGTACGCTGACATGTCAACGAGATCCGCTTGCCAAGTCTCGTCCAGCCCGCGGACGTCAACGTGCCAGCGCTGGTAATGTTTCCTGGCAGGTCTATGCAGTTCCTTCACCACCACTAACTTTTTTCCATCCATTTTCCAGTGCACTCAGTCTCGCGTGTAACTGAGAAATGATCAGAGAGTTGCGAGTCGCCAATTCTTGTCTTGGCTCGATATCAGCTTGTAGATGTTTCAACGCTTCCTTCGTGATAGAATCGAGAGATTGAATCATCAAGTTGTTGTTATCGATATCATTGCGCATTCCAGCAATCACTTGAAACACAGTATTGATCTCCTGCTTCATTACAGTTTTCATCAGATCAAGGTCACAGCATCGTTTTCTTCCTCGGCATCGGCAACGTTGCACAGCCTCTTGTTATCGATGTCGTAGTGTCCAGCAGCAGTGAATTTGAATCTGACTGAATCAACTGACGTCCAAATACGTCGACGCTCATATTCAAAGTGGCGATCGTGATCGTTTTATCGAATTAATAAATGATACCCGCCTCGCGCAATTCTTTGATAATCGGTAGGATTTCGTTCGAGTGACTGGGGTTACCATCTTCCTGAGACGCAAGGATCAGACGAAGGTAGTCCACCAGTTCGTTGGGGTCGTCCCAGTACACGTAATCCGTTCGTCCGTCCTTAGTAGCGATCATGTACCATGATACTATACCTTTGCCTGTTACAGAGGGCTGTTCGATCAGTTTTGCAGTAACGTTATGAAATTTGAAACTCTTGCTTTTACGAATTGCACCATCAGGTTTATAGTACTTTCTATGTGCATTCGTCGTTAAAATAATGTTTTTGTAATTGTCCAAGTCATCCTGAGTTACACTAGTCCCGTCAGGTACCTTCTTGAACAAGAGTTCTATCAAACCCGTAATTTTCAAGTACGGGTTCTTGGCGACTTTACGGACACCATAGGCGGTATCCAGATGTTTTCCTTGATTCGATAGCATCATATCGAGATACTGTTGCACAGGATCGTTCTAATTCACGGGTATATCTGCGTCATCGTTATCTCCTTGTTCTTCACCAACATGTTTACCTTCTTCTTCTTCTTCTTCTTCTTCGTCTGCATTTTCTACTTGCTCATCATCGACTCCCTCGAAAAAATCATTGTTTAACGACTTGAAGGATTCATCAGCGGATCTAATCGTATCATCCGCTCCTACGTCTTGCTTTATTTCATCCTTGATCTCGTCTTTAATGAGATTATGCTCCGGCCGAAGTGCAGTCACTAGTTTCTGCAGTAGAGTCACTACCGGTTTCGAAACCTCACTCGTCGCCTGTTCGACGTTCTCTCTACCCAATTTTATCATTCTATGCTTTTTGAGAATCGCATCGCTAGCTTTAGCGGTTTGACGTAAGACGTCTTTTTGTTCCTGAAGTTTTCTGCGTTGCATGTTGTGTTTGTCTATCCAAAACGCTACTGTATTCATTTTTTTCAATGATCATTTATCTATGCTCACGAAGCAATCGAATCCTTTTCTGTATCTACCGCCGTCGAGGTCGCTGTCCTTGTCGATCACGAGAAACCTATACTTATCACCGTTCCAGCATGTCGAACACAGATCTTTAAACTGTGCGTAAGTCATATCAGTGTTTGCGTGGTCATCGTACACATGCATGAGATTAATTTTATCCTGCTGAAAGAGCACCAACAGTTAGCATTGTCCCGTACCAGATGTTTGGGAATGCGAGCGTACATCTGACAGAGATGGAAACAGTCAACGTCCCTGTGCCGTCCCATGCTGAAGAAGGCTTTGATGTTATCTTGCTTCTCGCAAGCTATGTCGTCGTAAATAATTATCGAGTTTCGACGTACCTCGTTCGGTGGCAGCACTTGTTCGTGTTCCGTAAAAGGAAAGTACTAGATGCCGTCCATGGATGCGAGTAAACGTTCTAAAAACCTGTACTGTGGCTGATCAAGCAATTTTGAGTATACGTTGACAGGAAACACTGCTCGTATACTGTTTGGCAGTAATTCGCCGTGTCGCCTCCTTCTTCTCCTTTACTCGCACGATTTTGTCAAAGTTCGTTACAGGTAACCTGACTGCTCCTCGTACCTTATCTCGATCTTGACTAACGTGAAACTGTTTCACCGCAGGGACATAATCGTGCACCCTAAGCATAAACGCATTGGGAGGAAAATATTTCATCGTGGCAGAGGATTAGTCAACAGGATCATCAACAGTCTATCCGTTGAGTTACATATACCCGGTTATCAGTACTGTGGGCTCGGTATCAAACTAGCAAAGAGACTCACACGAGGCCATCCGGGCATCAACCCCCTCGACGGAACCTGCAAAGAGCACAACATCGCCTACTCGAAGAATCGAGAGAGTCTCGAACGAAGAGGGGCGCCGGACAGGGTACTGGCCGGCAAAGCTTGAAGCGCGTTTTCGCTAAAGACGCGAGTCTCGACGAGAAGGCGGCGTAATGGGTGCCAAGTCGAAACTCGGTATGGGACTCAAGAAGAAGAAACCAAAGACTGTAACGCTGAGGAAAGTCATCGAGGAAGCTAAAGGATCGATGATTCCTAGCAACGACGCACAGGCTGCTATCATATCTGCTCTCAAGGGTGCACAAGCTGCCGTCAAATGAGCTGGTGGAAAGCACAATGTCTGCACGCGGCGGGTTCTACCCGTGCCGTCCAAAGTCGGAGGCTTTCTGCCGCTTTTTCTCCCTGTGTTTGCGGGTCTCAGTGCCGCTGGAGCGTTGGCCGACGGTGTTGCAGGTATAGCCAAAGCCGTAAACGATGCGAATTCAAACAAGGAACAACTAAAGGAAAGTCAGAGACACAACAAGACGATGGAAGCTATTGCTTTAGGCAAAGGACTGTACTTGAAACCCTACAGAAAAGGACTAGGCCTTCATCTGAAGCCAAAAAACTTGAAGTGAAACTACCACGCCGAGCTTTGACCGATACGGATCTGCTAAAGTATGCGAAGATCATGAAGATTCCACATTTTCGTGGAGTCTTCATGCGGAACGCTATGCCGAAGGGTGGACCGTACAAGTACGAGTCGGCAATCGTCAATCTCGACGACGAAGATGGGCCAGGAACACACTGGGTCGCGTACAAGAATTGAACAATCGAGTCATTTATTTTGAAAGTTTCGGCAATCTTCGACCACCGCTAGATCTTATCGGATATCTCGGTGTTAGTAGTGTAAAGTACAATTACGAGCGATATCAGAAGTACATTATTTTCGCATATGGACACTTGTGTCTAAAGTTCCTGTTGTGGACAATTAAAATGTAAAAACAAGTATCGTCTATATAAGCTTGCTATGTAATTTCACAAGGTCAATTGAGCATTTACAATCATGAGGATTCATTCACGTTAACTTTATTAGGCACCTCCTCTATACTGGAAACCGAATATTTCCCTCCTATCGAGCTTACTCCATACAAAAAAGACGCTCTGGGACTCATCGAGTTGCTGACGTTCAATTTAATTCCCAATGGGGACACGAACCACAACAAGCTCTACGTGGGGGGATGTTGTTATCACTATACCTACTGATCCAGGATATCGAAAACTACGTGCATAGCGCGCTGACGGACAAGAGCATCGTCATTCATATTAAATCTAATAATAATTCGTTGTGCAGCGAAATTACGTGCAACCGTGACGTCGACTTTCGACCCAATGATTCCATAGGCCGCTTGTTGAGTTTCACTCAACGCGTTCTGGAAGCTAATAAATTACACACATCCGACGTACCAGTAGCAATTCTCAAGGTGAACGCCCGAATGCAACGTCAAGGTGAACGCGTCGAATGCAACGTCACGACGGGCATTTACATCAACGAACGTAAATTGCATACCATACACGAATTCTTTCCGGTCGTGCCACCCAAATACAAGATTATAGAGGTGCCATCGCACGTCATTTGTTTATCGATCGCCACCAAGACGATAGATCACCTGCAGCTTCGAATAGTCGATCAAGACGGGGACCTGCTGAATTTTCAAGGAGAAGTCATAACAATCAGGCTGCACGTCAGATCCATGCGATAATGGGTATTGTCTACAATAGGAAAATTGACAGTGGTTATAATAGTAGATCGATATGCCAAAGAGGGATCAGTCGTCAACTGCTTCTCAAGGCACTAACACGTCGAAATGTCTTGTTTCTGGAAAATCTAGGATTCAAGGTCACAAGAGGAAAGTAAAGCGTTTGTTATGTTGCATTCTTTTCGTCTGTTGCGTACCATGGAGGAAGAAACGCTGAACATTCAGACACCGATCGTCTTCGATGAATCTATAACACACTGTGACACGCATGCGCATCAACCTTACGCCTCGTGAACGTTCAACAACAGCGAGGAGTTTCGAATCTTCGTTCAACATCAAAACCTATGCTTACTATCGAGCAAAAGTTCGCTGCACGTATATGAAAAGCTATCAAGGGAGATGGGTCCACAGCGACTGCGAGCACGACTCTGGTCAATAATGCCATTTGCCATCTCTTCGAGGAGATTCGCTATGAAATGAATACTATAGAGATCAACCGGAACAAGAACGTCGATCTCACGAGTCTCATGAAGGGATATGCTTCCCTGAGTCCCGGTCAACGATCCTTGATGGAGAACGCCGGTTGGCTCGACCTCGAAGAACGGGAGAAATTGACCAATGCAGACGGTTACTACGACGTAACCATACCGCTGAGTCTGATACTGAGTTTCACCGAAGATTATCGCAAGGTCGTCGTTAACGCCAAACACGAGTTGATTCTGATAAAAGCAAAGAGCGATGTCAATGCAATAGTACAAACTACTTTGGAAGAATGCAAAGTCGTAATTCATAAAAAGGTGTCGGATCGACGAAAGATGCAACTACTGAGATTCATCGAGAGGGATGCACTCATCTCCGTGAGCTTTCGTATCTAGGAGCTGTACGAGTAACCTGTACTCCCCATCATTTCGAAACATGAATGGACCGTCAAGACGTCGACTCTGTTGGGAAAACCACGATACGTGATACTGGGTTTTCAGACGAGCAGAAAGAATAAGAAAAATAAGAACGCTAGTCAGTTTGACCACTGCAACGTCAGAAACGTTAAGCTTTTTTGAACTCGCAATGTTATCCCTACGGAAATCTAAATCTTGACATTAATCATAATCAGTTTGCCCTGCTGTACGAGATGTATCTAAACTTTCAAGCAACGGACTATGGCAAGGATCTTGAGCCATTGCTGAAGAAGAATGAATTTCTCGAGTACGCTCCATTGATCGTTATCGATTGTTTCAAACCAAACGAGTCCCTCAAACCTGGACCTGTCGATATTCGTCTGGAATTCGAGGCGCAAGACAATTTCCCTGCCGATACGTCGGCATTCTGCCTGATCCTGCATGATCGTATAGTCGAATACAACCCGATCAGTGGTGGGGTGAAAAAGTTGGTGTAAAGAGGCTGTAATCGTCTCTCCCTATGCAGTTCATAAAAAAAATGGAGTTCATCGTGAACGTACAAGGTTTCAAGAAACCCTCAAACGAGTTTGTCCTGAAGGAGCTATCCGTGATTGGAGTCGGCAGCAACTCTCCAAGCCTGCAACGTTTCTCTTTCAACCACCTTGTCCATAGAAATATCTACCGGCTAAATACAGAAGTATAAATTTGTGGTTAGAGCGCAATTTTCATGGTATATCCTGGAGGGCTGGGGACGTTGCTTACAATCAAGCTAAAAACATTCTTCGAGTCATCTTGCAAAATGCATCTAAGGTCTATGTAAAAGGATTGGAGAAAAAAATTTGGTTGAAAGATTTCATTGGAAGTTCCGAGCACATCATGGATCTACGAGATCTGGGATGCCTTTCGTTGCAAAAATTTCACAAAAACTCGGTTACTTGATGTACAAATCACTATGCTCCACATTTTAATTGTTCAACTGAAAATGTGAAATTGTTAAGGAACTGGTTGTCGGAATGTATATTTTTTGATTATGAATAAAGATATAAGATATAATAAGTTGTATATTTATTTAACACGTATACATAGTAGTTGAAGCACGAGTATAAAGTTTATAGACATTGGAACTCAATCTGGTTGTACCGCCCGCCGAGATAACGCATGAGGACTTGATTCTCCTCACAGGCTTGCATCATCTTCTTCAATAGATCCTCGTCGCCATTCAAAGCTTTTGACATCCTTATAGGTAGAAACGTCGAAAAGCTGTCTTCTACATTGAGGATCAATCTCATCCCATATTTGGTTTGAACTCTTCTTAATCTGGTGATTTTATATTCTTTCTGGGGTTCCAACTCAGCCAATTTCTTTGTCGGAAGATAGTCATCCAAATGGCCGACTTTTTAAATTATTGAGAAATCCATTTTTTACTGTAGATGAAGTTTTTTTTAGATTTCGTAGAAGGCTGTTATTATCTCTTTTAGCTTTGATCGAATGTTTCACTTCCGCGATATTCCTTAATAGTAACTGTATTCAAACTCTGACCTCGCGTTGTTTCCTCTTATTTAACATCGGTCGAATTGTCACAGCAGACTAACGAAGGCACGTTCAGCTCCTTCTTTTATAGGAAACTCTTAAGGGTTAAAAATGGGGATGGGAGGTTTCCGAAATTTCTAGGAATC